TCAGCGTTTTTTAAAGCATATTTCAAGTGCCTCTCATTTGTTGCCAACACTCAAAACTAAAATTTCATGCTATATGTTTTGAAGACTAGGTTGTAGTTATGGAAACTCCATATTGGCTGGTTAATCAAAGGGATACATTGTATTGATCTGATGAGAATTATAAAAACTGAGTTTATTTGCGGCAAAATACAAAAATTGCAAACAAAAGCTGCACTCTTTACCTTTAAATGAATCTTGATTTTTGTAGAGCTGATAAAAATTTTTACATCCAAAGAGACAAAAAAGACATTCAAAATTGCTGATCGCGTCAAGCAATGTTTCGTAGAGAATGGTTCATTCTACATAAAAAATGCCAAAAAACATTTTTGTTCAAAATTATCTTAGCTATATTTTTTATTTGAAACATAAAAGTGGTTTTACCATTACTTTTTGCATTTTTTTGGCATCCTACAATTGACATTCTCGACAAAATTTAGCTTGTTCGTTGATTTTCGTCTCTGACGACTGGAGTAAAAAGAAAAACATGTTTTTAACTGCTTTTCGCGAATAAATAAAAAACCTTTCGTTGTATGCAAAAAAAACATTGTTATCAAAAATAAAGTTTATAAAAAACAAAACATTCGTTTCTTTATTGTTTTAGATGCAATATAAAGTGAGTTATAACTCCATGTTTCAAAGCTCCCAAATTTATTTGTAGACTTCAAGGTAAAATATCTGAAAATCCAGCAATTTATCAAGGAACACTTACACAGCCAGTTTGAAAGTGAGGAAATGTACCCTTAAAATGAACTTAGGACAAAAAATAAAAAAGTTATGTTGAAAATAAGATCGACCCTCATACATTTTTTGACAAAATATTAGCAATAAAGGTGACGTCGGTACAGGGAATGGATATTGGTATGACACAAGATAGAAACTTATGGAGGAATGTAATAAGGGAAGCCGATATAGGAATAAAGGCGAAGAGAATGATATATATACAGGGTGTAACAAAAGGGTAGGTCATAAATTAAATCACGTATTCTGGGACCAAAAATAGTTCGATTAAACCTAACTTAGTACAAATGTGCACACAAAAAAAGTTAAAGCCTTTTGAACATCGATTTTTTTCAATATATTGAAAACTGTTATATTGAAAATGGACATGTGGCTTTCTTATGACAGGAATATCTTAAAAAAAATATTAGTGAAATTTGTACAACCCATAAAAATTTTTAATGGGGTTCTGTTCCCTTAAACCTCCCCAAATGTTTGTATACGTTCCAATTAAATTATTATTGTGGTATCATTAGCTAAGCACAATGTTGTTAAAACTTTTTTGACTCTTAGTACTTTTTGGATAATCCAGTTTTTATCGAGATGCGGCTTCTTTTTTAATATTTTTCAAAATTTTTGAGTACCTAACAAAATGTAAAATATAAATAAATTTTCATATTATTACCAGGTCTCTATAAATTTACTTAACCATTTAAAAATATGTGGTAGATTTTACAAATGTTCAAAATGACCTCAATTTTCTTGAATACACATTCGACACGATTCTAAAAAGGAAAATCGAATATTTTGGAAAATCATGGGCTTCCTACGAAATCGATTGGCAGCTTCATGATTCTATTCCTTAGTTGTTGTTCGTTCATAATTGGTACGGAATACACGTACCTTTCATAAAACCAGAAAAAAGCAAAAGTCAATTGAGTTAAGATCTGCACCTCTGGGTGGTCAAAAATAGGCGCATCGGGACCTCTGTAAAACCACATATTTTTCCTGACTGCGAGATTGACCTCGTCTAAGTACTCTGGTCACAAACGTTTTGTAGAAAGTGTAAATCATTTTTACCATTTAAATAGCTTGGAGAAATACTGGCCCTACTAGGCTATTATATACATTCCTGCCAATACATTGACTTTACACCAAAGAGATGAGATTTGAGATTTTTTTTGTTTTGGTGGATATGAGATTACAGGTAGCTTCGTCGGTAAACAAAACATGATTATTAAAATTGACATTTTGTGTGTTTTCCGTTAAAAAACAATCGCAAGACTCCATTTCTTTAGGATAATCTTCTTGCTTCCAGGGATTTCTTCACTTGTTTCCAAAATCTCTTTATCGTCTGTATCTACTTTTGGTCAACCAATATTACCAACAAGTTGCGGTCGAAATGTACAGTTGCGGTCACGGAATAGTTTACACCTTACTTTTTATATTGTAATACTGTAAAATTGCGAGTGTCGTACGGATTTGATAAATGTCAAAGTCAAAAAAATTTCAAAACGTCAATGCTTTCGCGAGTGTTCAACAATAAAATAAAAGTATATTAAACTCTTCCAAAATGGTTAGAATACATTTGAATTATGCGCAAAAAGCAAGAGCAATTGCCAAACTCGAAGAAGGTTGGTCACTAAGGCAAGTTGCTGCTGATTTGAACGTGAGTCATATGTGCATATGGAAGATTAAACAAAGATGGGATAATTTTCACTCTATAGCACGGTTGGGCGGTTCAGGAGGGCAGAAGATTTCCACAGATCAACAGGATGAGATGTTAGTAGATTATTTGAGAGAATCTCCTTTTGCCACAGCTCAAAAGGCAAGAGAAGAGGCAGCGTTTCCAGGCAGTATTCGCACTGCACGTCGAAGAATTAAAGCAAGTGGACTGCTAAATTGTGTAGCTGCACGGAAACCTTTTTTGACTGAGGATCACAAGAGGAGACGAGTTGAATTTTGTAATGAATTTATAAACCGCGATGAGAATTTTGGTCTAGGGTTGTATTTTCCGATGAAAAAGTATTTCAGTCGTATAATAATGGTCGAATAAGAGTTTATAGGCCGAGAAATCATAGGTATGATGAACAGTATAGCATCATTTAAGAAAATAGTGGAGGATTCTCTGTCAACGTATGGGGATGGATAAGTGCCGAAGGCCCGGCGTTTGTTATCATGTAGAGGAGAAGTTAACAGGATTATATTACAAACATATTATTGAGCACACAATGTTGCCATCGGTGATCCAGAGATTCCCCAACAACGACTTTATCTTCCAACATGACAATTGCCCGGTGCATACGAGTAGAATTGTTCGAGAATGGCTAGAAGAAACTGATGTTAATGTTCTTCCGTGGCCTTCCGTAGTGCAGACTTTAACCCCGTCGAAAATGTGTGGGCAGAGTTAACAAAGAAACTAAATGAAAGAAACTTAGACCACGGAATAGAATTGAATTATGGGAAAGCAATGAAGCCGGCATGGGAAGAGCTTGTTAACTACTAACATCGAGGGGGATTGTGTGCTATCTATGAACCAGAAGGACTGCAAAAATTGTATTGGACATGGAGATTGGGGCTACCACCACAATATATTAATTATTATTTATCATTGTTTCTCAGTTATTTAAATATAAAATAGATTTAATAATAAAAATAGCATATTAAAAAAAAGACTTTCGTTATTTTCTGTTATTAAGATCATAAGCCATTTTAATCAAAGAAACTGTTTTTCTATATTTTTCATTTTGTAAAATATTTTGATATTTTTCTAATTTTTAATCTACCCTATGCTAGCTAGTACACCACTGGACAAAAACGTCACTTTGACGGTAAAAGGTGCGTTTATAAACGAAGTAAAAATTTAAAAAATGGGCTCCTACGAGTACGTGACACCTGTAAACTATTTTCGTGACCGCAACTGTACCTGTCCTCTCGTTGTAATAAAAAAAAAACCCGATGATAAATGGAAAGAAATTAATCGTCTACCTGGTGTATTTCGATAAGGAACATTCTTCTGCATAACGCCTTGTAGCTGCTGCACTATTCACTTGGCATTCACATGTAATCACCAAATTAACAGTAATTATCTAAAACCCTAATTTAGCCTGCTCAAACTTACCCAGAATTAAATGCATATCTGCAATTTCTGAAAACCATTGTACTAGAAAATTTAGTTTTTCTTAATAATCTTAAATACACATTAATTGGAATTTGTTACTGATAATATGTATTGTTGATGCTACTATTTAATACATAGTAACTATAGCACCAAGTGTTATACAGCCAACTAGAGAATTTTTAAAACATAATAAAAAAGCAGCCCAATAAAAACTGGCTTATCTAAAAAGTAGTAAGAGGCAAAAAGTTTTAAAAGCATTTTGTTTAACTAATGGTACCACAATAATAATTTAATTGGAACGTATACAAACATTTGGTCGGGTTTAAAGGAACAAAATCCCCATAAATTTTTTATGGGGTGTACAAATTTCACTGTTATTTTTTTTTTAGAAGATATCCCTACCATAAGACAGCCACATGTCTATTTTCAATACAAAATCTCTAACAATTTTTGATATATTGGAAAAAATCGATTTTCATTTTGTAACTTCAAAGGGCTGTAACTTTTTTATGTGCACATTTGTACTAAGGTAAGTTAGGTTCAATCGATCTATTGATGGTACCGGAATACGTGATTTGATTTATGACCTACCTTTATTGTCTATGTAATATGAAAAAAGATAACTTTGACATGTAACAGATTTTTAGAGCATCCTGTGAAAATGCAAAACTTTTGCAATATTAACTTACTAACTACATAATCCTCGTTTGGAAAGCAACGATATAATGTACTCTTTAATCTTAAAAGATCTTCGGTGACACATCATGTATAATATAGCAATGTTAAAAATAGACCGGAAAATCAAATTGTTCTATTTTGGTATTTCATAAACCTTGTCTAAGGGAAAGAAACTTCTAAGACCTCAAGTTTATTTATAAAACTTGTTCGCCTACAAACTTTGGTACTTTTATTTCTTAGCCACCACTAATAAATGAGTCTAGGCATTAATTTTTTTTATTAATATTATATTATTTTTTTATTATCAGTTCAATTTCTTTAATAAATTCATAAATAGGACACTGCTTTTTGTATTAAATTTTTTATCCTTTTAAAATATCAAAAGCAAAAAAAATGCTGTACAATCATGTAACCTTTTAGTAATGAAATATTATATTTTTTTCAGAGTTGCAGATGTGTTCCTGTGGCAGCTGTCAATTTTAACAATTCTGTAGTAGCTAGAAGTTATAGCAAACATGCAAAACACACACACGCAGAACGGAAATATCAGTCAGACTCAGAATCAGATAGTGATCTGGAATGGATTGGACACAGAGTAAGTAATATAAAGTGACATTCATAACGTATTGTGTATTATGAGAGATGTAGGCACTAAATCTAGTTCTAAAGCTCTTTTATTGTTTATCATTGTATGTTTATTACATTATTCATACGGCTTTCGCTACGACTAAAAGTATCTACAGTATCAAAGATTGAGCTGCTTGACCCCGTATGCTGGAGTAACTGACAACACCTTTTGTACTTACAGTAAAATTTCAATTAACCATCACTCTTTTGTGGACCGGCAGTGCTGTCAAAGCAAAATAAAAATTTATAACCGCCAAACTTATGTTCCATAATAATGGCGAAAGTCTTTGAAACGAAGAAAAACAATGGTAATCAGATCAGTTATTCGTAAGCTTAAGGAATAGTTTAAATACAAAGTTATTTAGTTGATAGTTTAGCGAAAAGCTGCCGACAATCAGAGATGAACCTTTCTACTGATTATAAAATCACAACAACCCTTTTAGTGAAAAATTTCAACATCGGTGTTTTACCTACCAGTATTATGTTCAAAAGAGCGGTTGGATGGATCAAACAATTTTTTGGGATTGGTTTCACACACGTTTGAGCCTCAAGTTAGAGCATATTTGCTGACTTTAACAATATAAGGAGCGCCTAGAAAGCTCAAGCAAAAAAAAAGAAATTTCGGACTCAGGAATACAATCATTTACGATCCCACTATGCCTATGGAATAATATGCCAGAAAGGTTTGTAAAATTATCGATTGAGACGCTAACTTATCTTCTTGAAATGAACAAGAAAGACATTAAATTGGCAACAGTATTTCTCGCTTGATACAGTCGGGCCTGAGTTATTGCCTATTGTAGGAAACTAGATAGTAGGACTTATCGTTTCTTACAAAAAGAAAAAAGAAACGGCAAAACATATACTGTTTATCTGAGATCTTACACATAGATAAGACACATCAGATCAGAAAACTGATTAACTGAGCGTGTAGTATTAGCATTCTAGAGTTTAATTAGATAAGCGTAATAGACAAAAGATCTTACTTCTTAAGATCTCAGGTTGACACGCAGGGGGGCTAAATATGCTATACTTAGACTTGGCACATAAAATGTACGACTTGGAACATAAATACGTGATTTAGTTTTGAAGGAAGATAGGGCAGAATATTTGTTTACATATGGAAAAAAGTAAAAGTTGAAAAATCTTGAAAAGCTGTGTAAAGAGATCAAGCTTAGAGAGTGCTTAGATGACAATTTAGACGACTACTACAATTCTATGTAATAAAAGCAGTAATACAATTATGCTGTTCCCAAACTTCTCTCGTAGCATTAACGGGTGGCTATTCTTCTTCTTATCACGCTGTACCCTATTTGAACATATGCTACTACTCTATACAAATATAAGTTATCTTCAAGTGTGTACAGATATACGAAGGCCATCAGGTTTTCGATGACGCTGACCAGAAGAGCCTCTTTTGACCTAGAGATTGCAAAGCAGTGGTTGACAATGTCTAGACTAGAGGTTTGTAAGAAATAGTCGCTTATCACTAGATCTCCTCTTCTTTTCAAAAGAGATTGACGTCAACCACTAAAGAGTATCTGAGCAAGAAAAGCAAAAAGTGGTTATAGAACATATCGCTTCATTTCTTCTTCTTTTTATAAAATTTGTGCAGGATGATCTAAATAAATTTCTTTGGGAAACTTAGTTAGTGAGTCAAAAAATAACTTAATTGTTTATGAAAAAATCTTGTTCGGCCTTGTCAAATTTTGTTCAGACACAAAATTGTGTGATTGGTTCAGAAACCATTCGAAAAAATAATAGTTTGACGCATCCAACCGCTCTTTTGAGGATAATTTTTAGCAGGTAAAATTACTGGACAGATATCTGGGATGAGTAAATCCTCCCCTTAATGGTAGCAAAGGCCGTAGGGTTTAAATATAAATATTATATTAACACGTTCCCTGCCTTAGAGGAATTTGTAATACTTTCCGTTCACGCCAATGCCATTTCTGCTATATGGTCGAAAAAAATTACCGCTCACGCCACGGTTCGCAGAGGTACCTTATATTATAGCCTGTAATGTCAGTCTGCCTCGGTCAAATTGACAGAGACGGCACCACAGTCACGTTAAAATTCTCGGTCAAATAGACCGAGACGGCGGGCAACGTGGTAAACCTACAAGATACAACAAAAAAAGCTTCAAAACTATATAAAGTACTAAACCCTTATAATACACTACACTTTTTTGGGTTTACTATTTTTGTTACTGTTTTTTAACTTTGTCAGTTCAATTCTAACGGTTCGTCGTGACGTTTGCAATATTATTTTTGGTTTATGGTTAACCATTAACTATCGTGCAAAACAAATTTTTAAATAAGTTGCTGCACTTTACATTGACCTACAATTAATAATTGGCGATATGAAAACGATCGGACGTCTGGTGTTAATACTGTACATGCGAAAACAGTTAGGAAGTAATTGGATATTGACACATAAACTACTTTTTATACATTTTATATTGCAAAAAACACCAGATAGAGATCAGTGAGAAAGTCAGAGTGAGGGAGATGTCCAAAAATATATAAAGTAATGCTCGATAGATAGATAGGTATGGATAGATAGGTAATTGTTACGATCTACTGTAAATTGATTAAAGTGCGACTTGTGGAATCTTTTGCTACCATTTTTTGACATTGTTCTGACGATTTATTAATAATAATCTGCTTGTGGATTTATAAAAGAGTTACATATTTCCAGATTTGTTTGGAAAAAATTTCTTGGTACTAACGAGTAATTCGTTTTAAGTGTAGTAACACGAAACGCTGTCGACGGATGTGATATTTACATTAATGAATTCTGCTTCACTTACTGATGATTGTACAATGATTTTGGTAAAAGTATAGAGAAACGTCCCGGTTAAGTAAGTACAAATGAAAGAAATTTTTGTATTTGGCAGTGTTGCCATGTCGTTTTAATAAATTGCGAAACAACATGCGATATAATATTAATTAATAAACATGGAAAACATTAAAAAGGTAAACTAACGAGTAAAAATAGTATATAAATGACTGTAAATACTAAAGTTTTGACACAATTGCCAAATTTTATCCGGTAATCTATCAAATGACAATTACAAATTTTTTTTCTAATAACTAACTGCAGCTAATATCGAAAGAAATAAATATTCATTCGCTCGTAATTTATGTAAATCCAGATTCCTTAAAATAATAAAATAAAAATGTACTGTTTCAAAGCATATTTGAGGCATAAAACATATACACAATAAGGACATGACGTCAAGAAGAAGCTTTTCTCGTCCGTATTTTATAAGTTCAGCGTTGACTTCATTATTCCGCGGGCTTTTGCCGTATTTTAGATCTACAATTTCCTTTTTGATTTCTTCTAGTGATGCGGGGGATAAAATTATTTCATTTTTTGTTTTTATTACTTATTCTTCAGTTGCTATGTATTTTTATTTTAGTATTTCCTCAATAATCTTTCCGTCTTACAATCGTCAACATCAGAAATCATTTCCATCTTTTCGTATTCGAAGAATATATAAGCTGCTGAAAAGGGGAATCCAACTGCAGTTCCAACAGTGGCAGATCTAGACATTTGTCGTTTGGGGAGGAGAACTACCAATGAAATGAAATGAAACACCAATCAAAAGACATAAAAAGGATAAATTGGCATAATAAAAGACATAAATAATAGCGTTGATTGAATATCGAATTCGGATATTCAATCAACGCAATTAGGTATTCTTTAATTTTGGAAACTGTTTCGGGGGGGGGGGTTATTTTCCCTCTCCGTGTATCCGCCCCTGATTCCAAAACTATAGGGAAATACCTACAGTAGTAAGAAATATAGGACAAACTACTAGGGTAGTGCAAAAGAGAAAACCTAAGGAAATACTAAGAATTATTTAGGAGTAATAGATATTCATCATTCTGGCTTTACAACCCTGTGTGGGTGCTAGCCTCCTCAAGAATTTCTCTCCAGTCGTCCCATCCATCGCCTTCCTCCACAAGCACGTATTCACATATTTCTAATGTCTTCATCGATGTTATCAAGGAACCTTGTTCGGGGTCTTCTTCTTCTTCTCTGATCAATAGGTCTATCAAGGAGCGTTTTTCTAGCTGCGTCACTTTGTTCCATTTCGCATTACATGCCCTATCAACATCAGACGTCCTATCTTAATATGCTTTACAATATCTGGTTCCTGGTATATTCTATAAAGTTCGGAAGTTGTATAATTCTTCTCCACACTTATTGTCATTCATTCCTCCATAGATTCGGCTTAGTACCTTTCTTTCGAAACATCCCAACATGTTTTTCATTACTTTTTGTTAGAGTCTAGGTCCCTGAACCATATGTTAAGACTGGGCGTGTTATTGTTTTTGTAGAGTTTTTATTTTTGTATATCTCGGCATAATTGTGGATTTAAGGAGGAGATTGAGCCCAAAATAGCATCTGTTGGCCGTGCAAATGCTTGCTGCTGTTTATCTCTGCAGTAGTATTATTTTCAGTGTAAAAGGGTCTCCCTGGCGCAGCCCGTTTATTTGTTTTAAAAGGTTCAGACAGTTCTCCTGAATTCGTACTCTACATTCAATTTTTTCAAGAGTTGGTTTTGTTAAATTCACCAACTGATTTTGGTATTCCTAGCTCTTTCATTGCTTTAAACATTTCCTCTTCTATCGCAGAGGCTGCTTTGTAGTCTATAAATATGTAATAAGTATCAATGCTATATTCCAGTGTTTTTCTAAAATGTGTTTCAGTGTTGCAATCTGATGAATTGTCGATTTACCATCTCTGAAACGAGCCTGGTATTTTCCTACTACCCGCTCTGCATATGGTGCCATACAGTGACATAGTACCGTAGAAAACATTTTATATGCTGCATTTAGAAGCGTAATTCCTCTGTCGTTAGAGCATTCAAAGATGTCTCCTTTTTTGTGTATGGTGCAAAGTATTCCAATGATTGGGGAGGGGTTTCTGTGTCCATATGTCTTTTATAAGCTGCTA